CAATGCTTCTGGCTGGTCTTCACTCCAGATGCGGCAATTTTGCTTGTTAACGTACCCATTCAACCAGAAATGAGCTTCGTCGCTGAACACAATTTTTCGATAAAAATGTGGATCTTCCTCCAACTTTGCCAGCGCCCATTCACCAAATTAGGAACGTTGTGGGAGGTCGTGTGGCTTCAATTCTTGCACCAGCTGTACCTTATAAGGTTTTACACCCAAACCCCAAATCCAATTCTGCGAACGGCGGCGAATCGACATTTCACGGTCATCACTAACACTGGCGGATACAGCCGCAATATTTTCTTCAGTCCTCACTCTACGTCTGCCTGTTGGTGGTTTAATGTCCAATAATGTAAACTGGGTTCGAAATTTAGTCACAAGCTTCCGAATAGCTCCCTCAGTAGGCCGACCAAATTGCCCATAAATTGGAAGCAGTGCTCGATGCACTCTCTTAACCGAGCATGAATTTTGATAGTAAACTTCAATAATTTGCAAGCGTTGTTCGTTCGTACGTCGATTCATGGTTAAATTATAGACCAAACTGCACAAGTTTGAAAATGACACAAGACACGATTCACGCGTCAGTGTTGCCAAAAAGATACTAGCAAAAAAATCACCCATTAGTACCATCTGATGGTATATTTGGATTCATTGCTTTTTTGAAATTTGGAACAACGAGCCTCGAACCAATACAACAAGGTTTGGGTGGAGGGGTCTCATACAAAAACCTTTTGAATATTTTGTTGTCATTTCTAAACTTGCGTTATGTTTCGATATGAAGGTATTTGCATTATCTGGTTTATATGCCTTATATATTTGTACATCATCCGCATAAAAGTATATATTCCAGCCAGGTGCTATACGATCTGTTAGATCTGATGCGTAAAAGGTAAATAGCACAGCACCTAAGACCCTTCCTTGTGTACACCAGAAATTACATTTCGTTGAGAGGACATTTTATCACGCACTGAGATCTATCAGTCAAATAGCTCGTGAACAATTGCAAAGCACTACCGGCAAAATAAGATATTATAATTTTGATGATTTTTTTCTTCTCCTGCCCATTGCAGGAATGAGTGCATCCTTACACCGGCCCTGGGAGCTCACAATAGCTAAGGAGAGAAAGTATTAGGTAATACCTAGTAGTTCGTACCTGGCAATAAATCGACGCCTAAAAATAAATTAATAGGCAGGCACAGCACACTTCGTTGCTGCTGCGATGAAATATTAAAATGAAAGTAGAACTCCTCCACCTGCAATCCGGACTGCTGCCAAACCGTACATTATGTAACTGATCGCGTACTTTCCTTAACAGGAAACAATCTGCAACACCACTATACATATATGTGTTAATTGACAGCGTTGGTCAAGTTTACTGGGTAGAAAATTAAGTAGTGGTTTTCAGTGATTTTCATTAGTGATGGTCTAGATATTCTGCATTATTTTTTACTTGCAAGGGCTCTAATAAACGTCGCTTGGCCAGAAAACTCATTGTACCCGGAAGTAATTTTTCTGAAAACAATGCACCTCTGACTTCCCTTTAATTGGACAGACAAGAAAGTGTTACTTTGATCACTAAAAGCAGGACAAATTTCGAGATATGATTTGCGGTTTCTTATATCCCTCCAGATATTCTACATGGAGACTTAATGCACTTCTTCCAAAGTCAGAATAATATCAAGTCGCCTTTGGAAACAAACGTTTGTTTACTTACTTTACTGTCGGTTGACATTTATTTATTTTGAGGTTTTCGCTATAAGAACACGTATTACACCCGCGGCCTGACGGCACTTACTCGTATACCGCAGTTACCGAAGTTTAGTAAGAGTTTTCATTGTACTATGCCCAAGTCTGAAGCACAAAATTGACCTCATTCATTCTTAGAACACAATAGAAACAACTGCGACAGAAAAAAATCGCTACGGAAAACCAAACGACTCGAGCGAGTTCAAACTTGTACTTAAGGCGAATCACATGTTCTCCTGTCTCCCCTTTACGCCCGGCGCCTCCAGTGTTGCCGGATCGAACGCTGCGTTGCCAGTTTCCTCAATCAATTACTCAATTTTCAGACGTGGTCCTGAACAATATGTGCATTTTCAAATTTTGATTCTGAGTATCATCTTCCACAGGTTTGCCTTATTAAGCCGAAATCTGAAACTGACCGAAATCTGATTTATTGTGGCCTTAAAAAAAACATTTTCTCTTCCTTGAGCAAACTTCAGATTAGCACACAGTGCAAACTGTTCATTCAACAAACACACATATTTCCTAAGCCTATACAGTATACGTATTACACACGCGGCCTGACGGCACGTACTCTTATACCGCAGTTACCGGAGTTTAGTAAAAGTTTTCATTGTACTATGCCAAGTCTGAAGCACAAAATTGACCTCATTCATTATTAGAACACAATAGAAACAACTGTGACAGAAAAAAACGCTACGGAAAACCAAACGACTCGAGCGACTTCAAACTTGTACTTAAGGCGAGTCACATATTCTCCTGTCTCCCCATCACGCCCGGCGCTTCCAGTGTTGCCGGATCGAACGCTGCGTTGCCAGTTTCTTCACTCAATTTACAGACATGGTCCTGAACAACATGTGCATTTTCAAATTTTGATTCAGAGTATCATCTTCCACAGGTTTGCCTTATTAAGCCGAAATCTGAAACTGACCGAAATCTGATTTATTGCGGCCTTAAAAAAAAAACATTTTCTCTTCCTTGAGCAAACTTCAGATTAGCACACAGTGCAAACTGTTCATTCAACAAACACACATATTTCCTAAGCCTATTCACAGTATACGTATTACACCCGCGGCCTGACGGCACGTATGCCGCAGTTACATAACCTAACTTCCTAGCTGGGGCCAGCGCGGCGCGACATGCACTTCCGACACAAGCGGAGTCCCCCTTCTTCGCGGGGCCCCGGATTACGGCGGAAGACAACACTCGACGCTGTCCGGACCCGTTGGTAGTCGGTCCGACGTTTTTTGCTGCTGCGACTCCACTGTTCCGCTCTCTCCAAAACCAAAGCTCCGGCCGCTGACTAGACACAGGTATAGTCAGTTTTTTCAAATTTATTATAGTGAATTAACATTTCTTAATAACATTACATCAGTGATTAGTGTGCTAATTTGTTTCGTTTGTGCGGGTCAGTATTGTAAGTGCTACTGTCAACGCATCAATTGCGCTTGTCCGCAAATTGGATAAACATTGCACGTCAGTTAAGCTCGTTTCAGTTTCTTTGGCAAAGTTAAAATACTGTTATTTCCAAAATTTTTGGGCTTTCGCTAACTACCGCGGAAATATTGTAGTCGCTGAAAAATTCTAATATGAGATATTATTTTTTGATGTTACGTGACGAGTACATCATGAAATACGATGTTACTAATTTCCGTCGCTTTTGCTGTATGTCTGCCTGTTACTATCATAGATTCCTACTATGCCAAGGACCAAAAAGGTTTTGAAAATCGGTCCAGTCGCGGAGAATCTAAGGGAAAAAAGCAACAAAAAAAACAAAATTGCTTAATCTTGGTTTCTTGACGTTATAGAGCCGCCTGTTCATTTTTCATAATCATTTGAGGTTGGGGGGCTGCAGGGGGTGAAGAAGGGTATATTTTTTTGCATTATTCTGTTTAAACTAAACCTGTCTTGTAACCTGTACACCTGTCATTCTGGATCTGCCACATCGCAGACATTGTTGGCCAGTGGTGCTGATTAACGTATTTATGTCCTTTAAAAAAGATGGCGATAAATGGTCAGTCATTAACAACGCTGCTAGAGTCAACCTACTTGATGCCATTTTTTTAAAGTATTGGAGGGTCATACGTATAGGTCCAATTAATGAGCGATCGGTAAAATATGAGGCATCTCTATCTAAGTTCTTAATTGTTGATAATGGAAAGCTTTTAAACACGGAATTTGCTATTTTTAATTGTGGCCACTTCAACAAAAATTATGTATGGATATACTTAATAATTATTATCACCAACTCAAACGCATTGAAAAATGATGTTTCGGCCACTGAATAGATCTCAAAAACCTACAAAGCTTTTCCGCCCACGCTATAGAAATCATCTTAATAAGTCCTCTAAGTGATATTTTCAGAATGACAGACAGATAAGTTATTTCTTGATGTCTGAGGTCACCGCCAATAGGCTGGTTCTCCAAACTTTCAAAGCAGATAATAATAACAACCTTGCTTCACGAGCGACAGATCAAGGATTCCCGAAAAATCACAAATTAGAAACGTTTCCCAATTATAATACTTTATTGGCGTGTGGGAGGTGAAAACAAAACGTAAAACGGTCTAAAATTCCAAAACACACAGAGATATGAATATTTCTCAAATTCTCGATCCTTTTCTTACACCATTTTTGTGGGTCCGTAATTTTCATCAACTTTTAGGTTTTATTCTCTGATGAGCTCATACCAGTTTAGACAGAAGGAGTTTTTAAGATGTACGCATAAGTGATTGTAAAAGTATAGATTCAGACACTAGGCCAACAATCATTGTAATACGACGAATTTTGAAAAGATTGCTTTTTCTCAAATTACACTTATGAAAATCACTATTCAAGTTTGGATTGAAACTAGGTTACTACTGTTACAAAAACAAAAAAATAATAAAATATAAAAAATGGGTCAGCGCAAAACTTCAATGTAGAAATTTCGGTTCACGGTCTAGCCGGGAGGGACAAATTCCTGGTGAACAATGCTCCAAGAATCACAAATTGTTTTCACATTGCACCTTGATTTTTTCGACGTTTTTGTTCTCGGTTCCCCTATTCAACTACCACTGTACCGATCTTCAAAACTTATAAACCTTTTTTGACCTTGGCATCGTATGAACCTTGTGTCACAATTCCAACACAATCCGAGCGGTATTTTCAAGTAACATGGTTTTTCGTGATGCACATCCATAAAACATTCTCTATGTCCTAGGAAGTAATAAGTATAATTTTTGTACCGTAGATACTGGTAGTATATTAATAATCTGTATGCCAACTGAAATAAATTTTGCTTATAATTGTCATCTATTTTTTTTACAGATAGCATTGCAGCTGAATGGTGTTTAGCATGTGAAGTGACATTATAGTGGCGAGAGGGGCGGATCTGTGTATTTAATTTTTGCTTTGTGGTGGTGTTAGTGATACAATCATGTGGACCTGAGAAGACAAAAAAGTAAGTACGATATTAATTTAATTAATAAAAGATTTAATAGTTTCTGCCAGTTATATGTACAGGTGGTACAATAAGGTGTAACATATACTAAGTGACATATAAATCCGAACACCTAGTTTAAATGGTTTTATTTTAATAAAATTTTGTATAAATACTTAATGAAGCATAATAAGTGAATGATAAAAATTTCAAAATGATTCCACTGCTTTAAAGCCCTTTGACCTTTAATAATGTGTGGATGCACCCTGATGTGCTACGCATTCTCCAACGCGCCTAGGCATGCTTCTGATCAGGTGGTCAATGTCCTCCTGTGGTATCTCATTCCAGGCAACCACCAACTCCTCTCGAAGTGCTTCTAGAGTCTGAGGAGGACGTTGCAAATTGAGCAATCTCCTACCCATCATATCCCACACGTGCTCAATTGGGGATAAGTCGGGAGATCGTGGTGGCCATGGTAACAATGTGACATCATTATGTTGAAAGAAGTCTATTGTGACTCTTGCAACATGTGGTCGGGCATTATCTTGTTGGAAAGTTGGATCTGCCACGGTGTCAAGATAGGGTAAAAGATGGGGTTCTAGAACTTCGTGGATATAACGCTGCGCGTTCATGTTACCTCTGATGAAGATTAAAGGTGACCTGGCACCATAAGCTATAGCACCCCAAACCATAACTCCAACAGTGTGATGAACATGTCTTTCAACAAAAAACTGTGGATTCCTCCTTTCACCACGTCGCCTTCTAACCCTGGCACAACCATCGTGCATGCCTAAACAAAATCGAGACTCGTCACTAGAGACAATACTGTTCCATTCCTGATCCCAGAGTGACCGATGTCTGCACCACTCAAGGCGATTACGTCGGTGTTCTCGAGTTAAAGGGAGGACCCAGTGTGGCCGGTATGAAAACAAGCCAAAACTTCTCATTCGTCGGTAAACACTTCGCATGCCAATAGGTCTTCCGTGTTCTGCAAACCATTCATTTGCAATGGACCTGGTAGTGGAGAAACGGTCCCTTAAGGCCAATAATCTTCGGCGGCGATCTTCACGGTCTGTTGTTCTACGGCGCGGCGTCCCGTGCCCCTTGCTCTTTGCGTACGGCCTTCTCGAAGTCATGCCTGACAACACCTAACCACAGTATCTACACTTCTTTGCACTCTAACTGCAATTGCCCGAAAAGAAAGTCCAGCTTCCCGAAGTCCCACTATACGGCCCCTATCAAACTCTCTAAGTTGACGAAATCGAACAGGTCTCCGTACTCTAGGCATCGTAACCGATCGTAAAGGATGTCAAGAACCAAAATCCGCCAACGTTGATTCTTTACTGCGGCTGAAATATTCATTTTTAGAGCGTTAGTGAATTAAAAAAAAGCAGTATGAAAACCGGAATGACCAACTGATAAGGCTGAAAATTTTTTCACTTGTTATTTACAGTAAGATAAATACATTCACCAACTTTTATTAAAATAAAACCATTTAAACTGGGTGTTCGAATTTATATGTCACTTAGTATAGTTATGACTTAAAGGCATTTTATTCGATTTGCAAAACCATGACGAAAAAATCCTTGAAGAAACTACAAATTAACATATATTCTAAATAGTTATTCCAGATGTAGTACACAGTATTTTGTATTGTTGGGAAATGTGTCTTCCAAACGAAATATCCAATTAGAAATAATTGCTACATCACTTTAAAAACCCATTTACAAATATCTAAAAAGCAAATAGTCTAGTACTATTGGAATTAACTCCAACACAATAAGTTGATCAATAAATGTTTGCAAGTTACTTATCGGAAACAACTGTATAAAAATACCATATCATGAACAACACAATAATCATGGCACTCATATCCTTCGGTTTATGTGTGTGTCAGCCTATCCACTAATTTTTCGAAATTTGTTTAGGGTAAAAAATTTGGGATGGGGATATCTGAATTATGTCTACCCTATGTCATTCTATACCGGAAGGTTTCCGAAGGGAGTTTACAACACTAGGAAACCACTGCCTCTCGGCGGATACACGCTTTAACAAACATTTCTTTACTATACGAGCTTAATAATTTTACTGATTGTGGTCTATTTGATAAATAATGTTCCATTAAAGTATACATCTTTCCACGAAAACCTATTCTTTCTAAGATTTTCAAAGTATATTGTGGTTAACTGTGTCAAACGCTTTTTGTAAGTCCACAAATACGCATATCGATGGTACTTTTCCATCTATATTTTGGGTTATTTCATCTACTATACTTAATACCCCATCTGTTGTAGATTTGCCCGCTATAAAACCATATTGATTTGAATTTAGAATTTTGAATTTATTAAGAAAATTAATCATTTTATTAAGGAGTAATTTCTCAAAAACTTTAGCTAAACTTGATATAAGTGAAATAGGTCGATAGTTAGTGACGTCCGTATTATCATTAGATTTATAGATAGGTATGATGATTGCTGTCTTGAAAGCTGATGGAAATACTCCAGATTGGAAGGATTTGTTAATGATATAAGCGAGTGGTTCTGTTATTTGTTTGGCCAGTATCTTTTGATGTTCAGCTCTAATTTCGTCAACTCCAGGGCTTTTTTTATTTTTTAGAGTCATAATGGCATTGAAAACATCCTGATAGTCTACTTCAGTTAATACAAATGAATTATTCAGTCTTGTTTCATGCAGATGAATATCAGCATTTTGTTTGATATTATTTGCTAAGTTTCCTCCTATATTCGTGAAAAATTCTATGAACTCATCACATATTTGCTGAATATTGTCTGTTTTCTGTCCTGTTTTTGTTTTTATTTCATTAATATTGTTTTTTGAATAGGATGACTTATTGAATATATCATTGACAGTGGACCATAGGTGTCTAGAGTCATGTGAATTATTATTCAATTGTTTTATATAGTAATTTTTTTTTTGCTTTTCTCAAAAGTTCTATAATTTGTTTTTATACTGATTATAATGATCTATATTTACTTTCGTGGGTAAGTATTTCATGATTTTATACAGTCTTCCTTTTTCGTTTGCAGATTTTATTAGTCCTTTGGTCATCCAATCATTTCTGCTTTTTTCCTTGTGACTTATTTTAACCTTATTAGTACTAACTTCAATTACTTTTTGAATTTTGTGTATTAATAAATTTGTAGCTTCGTCTAAAGAATTTGTTAAAAAAATTTCGTCCCACGATTCCGTTTGTGCGTTAAATATTAATTTTGAGTTGTCAGTGAAATATTTGTATTTAAGGTTTCTTTCATTTTTTGCCCTTGGGCAGTTCTGGTTTTTATTTTGTGAAGATATCAATAATACAGTGGAATAATGATCTGTAATATCGGTTTCATAGATAATAGGCATATATATATACAAGGCACATTTACGTAGTAGACAGAATAGTACGAAGCTAGTGGATTACTGATTTATATAAAGATGGTTGAATATAAACTAAACTTCAGATCTTTTTTTAGATTTTTAGATTTATGTTATTGTTGGTTTCGAAGATAATGTTCCTAACGCAGTAACTTTGCCGCGCGTGATGCTAGGCGAAATCTGGCAACACCGTCATGTTTCTCGGCTCCACCACCACCGATCCCAACAAGGAGCGCCTATCTAGTTGCTCTGGAACATGTCACTGGCTCTTGATATCTGACAAGTCTCTGTTATTCAAATCTGTTCGCTGTGACATCTTCTTCATTATTTAGTTTTTACAATCTTGTTAATAATGCACTAAACATTGGATCTAACAAAATCCCTCATCCCATGCAAATTTACTTGACGTGTAGAGAATGCTGGGTTAATTCATGCTCCCCATTCCCCATTGTACGAGGTATGCAAATTAAGTGATGAGAGTGGCAACGTAGCGTTCGATACGGCAACACTGGAGGCGCCGGGTTTGGAGCGGAGACAGGGGAACATGTGATCCGCCCTCAGTACACGTTTGAACTCGCTCGAGTCATTTGGCTGTTCGCAGCGATTTTTTTGTGAAACAGTATTTTCTATTGTGTTCTGCGGATACTTTATATTGATTTGTTTTATTCGAGAGTAATTGTATTTTACAGATAAACATTATTATAATTATTATTATTATTATCATTATCAATTTCAAGCAACATTGTGTTCTTGAATGTGACAATATAAAATTGTAATTACATTTAAATGGAAAATTACAAAAAAAATCAGCCTCGTCACATAATTCACAAGCCTCGTAGTACCTCGTAATAGTCGTGTACTGCAATTCTCAATGTGGGCCAACCGGCACCAAAAATGAAGAACGCCGGGTCAGATATGCTGCCATTACGTAAAGGACGAGTTGCTTAATACAAGATATTGATGTTAATTTTTTCTTGTAACCTGCTTTTGGTACGCGATGCTGTTTATGTTTACGAAGGTGTATTATGTAACTTTTATGTAATTGGATTGTAACGTGCCTATATATTAGTGAAAGGGGTTCACAGCTTGTAGTTATAGAGACCTAATGGGCTATTGTTGTTCGCTAACGGGCGGCTTGTTGATATGCTAAACGCTAATTGGGCTGCCGTCGATGTGAAATTATCGGATTATGCACGGTTTGTTTGGCGAGTAAGACTTGTTCCGTGTTTTATAATTTTAGATCATATCTACATCATGAAGACACGCTGATCTTCACCTTCTTATATAAACTGATTTTTTCTCAGCAATGAAAAATCCGGGCTTAATTATATGTTGTCGCGTTAAACGCCATTATGTATCAACAAATTTAATACTGTTTTTTATTAACCAAAGTTCTGGTAACAACGTGCGCGATACAGGGAAAACCAAATTTGTATGACGGCTTGAGCTCAATGTGTATGCGAGATAAGTGTGCATCAACACATGTTAGAAAGAGATAAACGCCGGCTAAAGGGCGAAGGTCAACACCGCATTGCCGCATTGCCTAGCAACGGTGAAGCAGAAGGTCGTGCCATGTCACACTAAAAAATTTTAAGATACTGTCAAATCCAAGAAGAAGGTCTGTCAAAGATTTAATTTAT